GAACTTGAAGCTCTCAACCTGTTCCACTACAGCCCCGTCGATGAGAATGGGGGCATGCTCAGTCCTCTTTTTTTTCCTGTAGTCCACAATCATCTCCTTTGTCTTGGTCACGTTGAGGGAGAGGTTGTTGTCCTGGCACCACACGGCCAGATCTCTGACCTCCTCCCTATAGGCTGTCTCATCGTTGTCGGTGATCAGGCCTACCACTGTTGTGTCGTCGGCAAACTTAATGATGGTGTTGGAGTCGTGCCTAGCCATGCAGTCATGGGTGAACAGAGAGTACAGGAGGGGACTGAGCACGCACCCCTGAGGGGCCCCCGTGTTGAGGATCAGTGTGGCAGATGTGTTGTTACCTACCCTTACCACCTGGGGGCGGCCCGTCAGGAAGTCCAGGATCTAGTTGCAGAGGGAGGTGTTTAGTCCCAGGATCCTTAGCTTAGTGATGAGCTTAGAGGGCACTATGGTGTTGAATGCTGAGCTGTAGTCAATGAATAGCATTCTCACGTAGGTGTTCCTCTTGTCCAGGTGGGAAAGGGCAGTGTGGAGTGCGATAGAGATTGCATCATCTGTGGATCTGTTGGGGCGGTATGCAAATTGGAGTGGGTCTAGGGTTTCTGGGATTATGCTGTTGATGTGAGCCATGACCAGTCTTTCAAAGCACTTCATGGCTACAGACGTCAGTGCTACGGGTCGGTAGTCATTTAGGCAGGTTATCTTAGAGTTCTTGGGCACGGGGACTATGGTGGTCTGCTTGAAACATGTTGGTATTACAGACTCAGTCAGGGACATGTTGAAAATGTCAGTGAAGACTCTTGCCAGTTGGTCAGCACATGCTCGGAGTACACGTCCTGGTAATCCGTCTGGCCCTGCGGCCTTGTGAATGTTGACCTGCTTAAAAGTCTTACTCACATCGGCTACGGAGAGCGTGATCACATAGTCGTCCGGAACAGCTGGTGCTCTCATGCATGCTTCAGTGTTGCTTGCCTCGAAGCGAGCGTAGAAGTGGTTTAGCTCGTCTGGTAGGCTTGTGTCACTGGGCAGCTCGCGGCTGTGCTTCCCTTTGTAGTCTGTAATAGTTTTCAAGCCCTGCCACATCCGACGAGCGTCAGAGCCAGTGTAGTATGATTCAATCTTAGACCTGTATTGACTCTTTGCCTGTTTGATGGTTCGTCGGAGGTCATAGCGGGATTTCTTATAAGCGTCCGGGTTAGAGTCCCGTTCCTTGAAAGCGGCAGCTCTACCCTTTAGCTCAGTGCGGATGTTTCCTGTAATCCATGGCTTCTGGTTGGGGTATGTACGTACGGTCACTGTGGGGACGACATCATCGATGCACTTATTGATGAAGCCAGTGACTGATGTGGTGTACTCCTCAATGCTGTCTGAAGAATCCCGGAACATGTTCCAGTCTGTGCTAGCAAAACAGTCCTGTAGCTTAGCATCTGCGTCATCTGACCACTTTTTTATTAGCCGAATCACTGGTGCTTCCTGCTTCAGTTTTTGCTTATAAGCAGGAATCAGGAGGATAGAGTTATGGTCAGATTTGCCAAATGGAGGGCGAGGGAGAGCTTTGTATGCGTCTCTGTGTGTGGAGTAAAGGTGGTCTAGAGTTTTTTCCCCTCTGGTTGCACATTTAACATGCTGGTAGAAATGAGGTAGAACGGATTTAAGTTTCCCTGCATTAAAGTCCCCGGCTACTAGGAGCGCTGCATCTGGATGAGCGTTTTCCTGTTGATTAATGGCCTTGTACAACTCATTCAGTGCAATCTTAATGCCAGCATTGGTTTGTGGTGGTATGAAGACACTGTATGAAGAGTAAAGCAGTATGTTAACATTAAAGTGACCAGTGATTCCATGTCTATGTACAGTGCCTTCGGAAAGTATTCTGACCCATTGACTTTTTCCACATTTTGTTACGTTACAGCCTTATTCTAAAATAGATTAAAAATCCTCAGCAATCTACACACAATACCCCATAATGACGAAGCGAAAAAAACATTTAGAAATTTTGCAAATTTATTAAAAATAAAAACAAACCTTATTTACATAAGTATTCAGACCCCTTTGCTATGAGACTCAATTGAGTTCAGGTGCATCCTGTTTCCATTGATCATCCTTAATGTTTCTACAAATTGATCAGAGTCCACCTGTGGTAAATTCAATTGATTGGACTTGATTTGGAATGCACACCTGTCTATGTAAGGTCCCACAGTTGACAGTGCATGTCAGAGCAAAAACCAAACCATTAGGTCGAAGAAATTGTCCAGAGCGCAGAGACAGGATTGTGTTGAGGCACAGATCTTGGGAAGGGTACCAAAAAAGGTCTGCAGAATTGAAGGTCCCCAAGAACACAGTGGCCTCCATCATTCTTAAATGGAAGAAGTTTGGAACCACCAACACTCTTCCTAGAGCTGGCCACCTGTCCAAACTGAGCAATCGGGGGAGAAGGGCCTTGGTCAGGGAGGTGACCAAGAACCCAATGGTCACTCTGACAGAGCTCTAGAGTTCCTCTGTGGAGATGGGAGAGCCTTCTAGAAGGACAACCATCTCTGCAGCACTTCACCAATCAGGCCTTTATGGTAGTGACCAGACGGAAGCCACTCCTCAGTAAAAGGCACATGACAGCGCACTTGGAGTTTGCCAAAAGGCACCTAAAGACTCATCTCAGACCATGAGAAACAATATTCTCTGGTCTGATGAAACCAAGATTGAACTCTTTGGCCTGAATGCCAAGCGTCACGTCTGGAGGAAACCTGGCACCATCTCTACGATGAAGTATGGTGGTGGCAGCATGCTGTGGGGATGTTTTTCAGCGGCAGGGACTGGGAGACTAGTCAGGCTCGAGGGAAAGATTAACTGAGCCAAGTACAGAGTTCCTTGATGAAAACCTGCTCCAGAGCGCTCAGGACCTCAGACTGGGCCTAAGGTTCACCTTCCAACAGGACAACGACCCTCAGCACACAGCCAAGATAACGCAGGAGTGGCTTTGGGACAAGTCTATGAATGTCCTTGAGTGGCCCAGCCAGAGCCTGGACTTCAACCTGAACAAACATCTCTGGAGAGACCTGAAAATAGCTGTGCAGCAACGCTCCCCATCCAAACTGACAGAGCTTGAGAGGATCTGCAGAGAAGAATGGGAGAAACTCCCCAAATACAGGTGTGCTAAGCCTTTGTCATACCCAAGAAGACTTGACTGTAATCGCTGCCAAAGGTACTTTAACAAAGTGCTGAGTAAAGGGTCTGAATAGTTGTAAATGTTTATTTTTATAAGTTAGCAAAAATGTCTAAACCTGTTTTTGCTTTGTCATTATGGGGTATTGTGTGTAGAATCCATTTTAGAATAAGGCTGTAACGTAACAAAATGTGGAAAAAGTAAAGGGGTCTGAATACTTTCCAAAGGCAGCAGCTTCCAAGGTGCAGGGTTGAGTAACTGGGTGGTAGCCGGCTAGTGATGGCTATTAACAGCTATGGACTAAGTTTAGTGTACTCACTACTCAGCAAGGTTATGATTTTAAAATTAAAAATGTACATTAACAATCACTAACAGTACTCACCTGGGTCTTTCAAATCGATTGCTTTGCAGGGGGAAATCAGCGTGACCTTGCTCGTGCTAAAAATGCCAAAAAGCAAGGGAATGACAAGGGAAAGAAGGCAGATGATGGCATGTCTGCAGCTGCGAGGAAGCTGAGGTAAGTCGTGTTTGTAGTGAGCAATAAACAGCCAATTGTTACTAGTTTTGTTTATTAGGACGTTTTCCTGGTATACTAAGGGGATGTCCACAATTGAGACTAGCCTGAAGACCGGACATTGAATTGCATAGAACTATGTCAGGCAGAATTTGGCTTTTGGATCAGGAAAGTTTCTTTCACAACCTTTACAAGCCAGAATGCTGAATAAAATCACTTTACTGGTTGTGTGTGGTTGGTCCTTTTACAGGTAGGAATGTGAGACTATATATCCACCGTAAAGTAAATTACATCAACTTTTGAAAGCGCTGGTAGTGCATTCGGATTTATCACCTGAAGCATGAGCACAAGATGAAAATACATGTACTAGACACATGCATAGTTGTAGAACTCATGCACATGTTTACATGGTTCTGCTCATGCTTCAGGTGATATAAATCTGAACACACTACCAGCGCTTTGGAAAGTTTAATTATATTTTCCGGTGGATTTGTCTCACATTCATATCTGCAAAAGGACCAACCGCGTGGACAACCGGTAAAGTACGTTAATCATTTTATTCAACATTGTCTTGTCAAGCTTGAGGACATTTTCCAAACAAATATGACAGACTGTGAACCAAAGGTATCAGTCTGTCAGACACATTTTTAACATGCATTTCATTTTGTTTTTGTCTTCCTTAGGGATGCAGAGATAATGCAACAGAAGCAGAAAAAAGCCAATGACCCTAAGCCAGGCGATGAGAAAGCCAAATAGCAGCAGGATACAGAGCCCAAACACAACTATTCTCAGATCAAGATGTTACCTATTATTCAAAGATGACCAGTTATTTTTTTGTCCCATGCTGTGGGGTACAGAACCAGTTTGTAATCTTTTGTGGTGGAGGTTGTACTGTATAGTTTGAGAAATGAATGGTTTTGAATGACTAATGCTTAAGCCTATTTCAATACAGGTCTAATGTTAAATCAGTATTTACAATGTAAAGAGCAGAAATGTCAAACTTCACTACTTAGAATTACAAAACAATCATATTTTTGTATCCCTCCTAGATTTTAAATAACTCATCTAGTGATTTTGTTAATGGTTGTCTATACCATGTTTATTCTTACTTTTATATTGAGGATGGGATATACAGTGCTGTAAGATGATAATCAAATAAACAAATGAAAGGATTCAATCTGGGGAACTTTTATTTAACAAATTATAATTCACACCTGTACAGAAACTTTAATCAATAAAAACACAAAATCAGCTAAAATGAAATAAATACTAAAAGCACCTAGGTGTAAAATGTGCTGATCAATTTCTGCATGTTTCTAACCACAGCAAGGGCATTGACCACTGCAGTCTCTTGACTGAGCTAGAACAACTTCAACTGTGCTTTTCTTCAATATATGAATGCAGTCAATTCCTGATGAGTTCTGGAGATCTACATGCTCCAGACCAGTTATGTGCAATATTCAGGAGAGTCCAGGACTATTACATTTATCAGGAGTTGACTGTATTGCTAAAGATTGGACAATTATTAGATTAAAATACATTTAGTTAACTTTACAGTAATCTCAATTTGTTATACATTTTTAGCTACTCATTGCAGAACTACTACACAAAACAGATCTCCATCACAAAAGCTGTGGCGCTAAAATAGAGCCCCCATCCTCCCTAGTCTCCAGTCAGTAGATGCATTTCCCAATTCCATTTGGTGATGGGCCTCCATGGTTATACTCTGCAGCAGTTAGTCAGAGCTTTCTTTGGACCGCTTAAACTCAACTTTACCGGTGAGTCTGATTGCCGTCTCAGTTTCACATTTTTTTTAACTTCTCTGTTAGGAAAAAATTAAGTTCTTAGTTATAGTTTAGGTATTCGTGGTAGGGAAGTGGAGGGATTGGATGGAAGGGGTTTTAGGATTCTTACCTTGCCAGGTGAAGTACTGCCTCCACTACATTAGTTCCCACTTTGGCACTAGTTTCACAGAACAGGGCATTGTATGTCTGAAACATATGGTAATATTGTGATCAATATTTAGTTGATGGACCCATGAACATCTTGTTATTTTGACTGGAAAAAAAAAAAAGTTGTACCCTAGCCAGCCTTTCCCCGTCGACAGTGCTGACACAGCTTCCCTCCGGTCGATCTTCTCGCAGGTCCACTTTGTTCCCAATCACACACATTGGGAGTTGCTCATCCCTGCATTCCTGGGATAAGGGAAGTTTGTTCTTCAGTAAGTTCCTGATTTATGCGTAATTGTTCTTTTTATATTGTATATTTCAGCAATAAGGTTTGTGGTATATGGCCACTATACCACGGCTAAGGGCTGTTTTTATGCACGACGCAACGGAGCGCCTGCTGGATACAGCCCTTAGCCATGGTATATTGGCAATATACCACAAACCCCCAAGGTGCCTTAATGCTATTATAAACTGGTTACTAATGTAATTAAAAGAGTACAAATAAATGTTTTTCATACCCGTTGTATACGGTCTGATATACCATGGCTTTCAGCCAAATCAGCATCCAGGAGCCAAACTACACAGTTTATTTTAATTTTATTTGACTAGGCAAGCCAGTTGAGAACAAATTATTATTTACAATAATCCTGCAAAGACCATTATGGCCTCAAAAAAATTAATTAACTCATAAAATCTGCCTATAATAAGACACCCATTTAGCAATTATTTTGGAATCCCATTCCAAGTTATTTAAATCCCAAGGACCATAAAACCCCTCAACTGTGACTGGTACCTGAATCTGGCCCATCCACTCTCTGACATTAAGGAAGCTGCTCTCAGAAGTGACATCATACAGCAGTAAGACTCCATGGGCTTTACGGAAGTAAGACCTGGCAATACTGCGGAACCTTCAGTAACAGGGAAATCCCATTTAGTTATTGACATTACATGATCATTTGGAATCTGTGCAGCACTTCAGATTAACAGCCACATCACCAAGACATTATGGGACCACACATTTAAGGCTTTTAGTATGTCAATGTGTCACAGCACCAAGTCAAAGCTATTCGCTGCTCTGGCACCCCAATGGTGGAACAAGCTCCCCCACGACGCCAGGACAGCGGAGTCACTGACCACCTTCCGGAGACACTTGAAACCCTACCTCTTTAAGGAATACCTGGAATAGTATAAAGTAATCCTTCTCCCCCCCCAAAAAAAGTGGTTGTCCCACTGGCTATCATAAGTTGAATGCACCAATTTGTAAGTCGCTCTGGATAAGAGCGTCTGCTAAATGATGTAAATGTAATGTATTTTTTTTGCTTGACAGTTCAACTGAAAGGTGTGATTATTTTAAATCTGTCCAGCATTTGTTTAATTAGAGCAACACCATAAGGACTGTAACCAAGGCTTTTAGAATGTCAATATACAGAAACATACCGCTCTTGTCCAGCAGTATCCCATATCTGGAGGTTAGTTTTTTCTCCATCCACCAACATCTTCTTGATTTGGAAATCAACTCCTAAGAACAACATTATGTAATGGTAAGGGCAATGCACTTTCTGCATTAATTCTACCACTATAAAAAAAAAACTGTCCTGTTACTGTACTTACCCAACGTCGTCTGAATATCTCCCCTGAACTCATTGAGACTCAACCTCAATAGAAAGCTGGACTTCCCTGATCCTGCATCTCCCGCCAAAACTAACCGGTACATGTGAGCAGAGCCACCAGTGTCAACGATGTCTGCTTCGGTTGGCTGAGGACCAAGTAGCATCACATAGTTATGAAGAATAATGCATATGCCAATTCCACATAAACCTCCCTATACAAAATGTCTTCCTGCGCATCAAAACTGAATATCTCAGTTCATTGCCTTACCTTTATGGGGAAAGCAGACAAGCGTCTCCGAATGGACGAAGCGATGGAGCTAGGTTTTCTGGGAGCTACAGACAGTGTTGCCTGACTTGCATCTGATTTCACGTCTGATATCTGGTACAGAAATAGGTAAATTCATGTATTAGCATGTGAAATGTACTAATAAAATAGTTGGTCAAACCTTTCGGTTACCCTTACCTCAATGTCTGAGGGCACATATGAATAACTGTGGTGTACTGTTTCTGTAGAGACATCACTGTCAGACTCGCTGCCTGAGCTTTCAGTAGTGTCCATAGGCAGGGACACACCACTGTCCAGGTATCTATCAGCCCAGCTGGTTACATGGGAGTAGGTTGTTTTACTGGAGTCTACAGCTGTGTTCTCTCCCCCTGAACTGGACCAAAAATAGGAATGAATAAATAAGAACATGAGTTAAAAGTGGTCAATTCACATGATCAAATCAATAGGTCCAGATTTATAGGATAACGATATAGTATGTGTACTTTATAAGCGTGCTTTGTCGAACTGGCTTCATTCTTCGGGCTGCGATTTCACTGTTGGGGGATAGCTGTGGGATGATTTATAACACTTTTGTAAACAAAGAGAAACTAAAGCATTGTAGAGATGCCTTATAAATGCAAATGTAAGGGGAAATGTGAGTCTAACTTATCTTGAGTGAAAACAACCAAGACTTACCCTCCTTTTACTTGATGCCACATCATTGACTAAGGCAGAGCGCAAGTCATCATTGCTGTCATACAGCTTTTTGTTCATGACCCTAATAGGAAGGAGTCAATGTAGAGAACATGTCATATGCTTTACTAATCTTTTAGCCTGTCAACTTCTATTAACAATGAGCATAAGGTTTGCACTGCACGGATGTGCATGCATGACTCAAAGCTATGCTTTACTTCGATACAACAAAAACAATTGTCATGAAAGGACATACTAACCGACAATCGGGTCGGACAGACTTACTGGAGTATTTCAATGTGACTGGAGTAAGACTGGTACTCGATTACCATCTTTTTCAGGTCATCACTTTCTCTGGGAAAACAAAAATTTACAAATACATTTGTGCCCTGTAATCAACTAGTCCGTATTAACTGAGTTGGACTTGATCCATTGGACCTGAGAATGAAGTCTGATCTCACCTCTCATGTTGAAGTTTCTGGTCTGCATACATGTTCTTCAGCTTGTCCATCTCTACCTGCAGAATGGAGATGTTTGTCTGAGCTTTGACGAGAGAACTCCGTAACTGCTCATTTTCCTGAGGAGAGCATGCAATATGTAGAATATTACTGGAAAGTGTACAGGAAATAATGTAAATGGGACTCAACATACAGTTATGTGTCTATCTTGAATTAATCCAACGTACCATAGTCAGTCCACATATTTGTTGGTGTAGTTTGTCAACATCCTGCCTGGAATTGTTGAGTTCAGATTCATCTTGGCACTACAATGAAAATGTTTCCATTCATTTCAAATGAATAATAAATATGATTATTTATCACCTGAAATCACATTCACGCTTAAAACTGCCTGAAACTACATTGCTCAAAAAAATAAAAGGGAACACTTAAACAACACATCCTAGATCTGAATGAATGAAATAATCTTATTAAATACTTTTTTTCTTTACATAGTTGAATGTGCTGACAACAAAATCACACAAAAATTATCAATGGAAATCAAATGTATCAACCCATGGAGGTCTGGATTTGGAGTCACCCTCAAAATTAAAGTGGAAAACCACACTACAGGCTGATCCAACTTTGATGTAATGTCCTTAAAAACAAGTCAAAATGAGGCTCAGTAGTGTGTGTGGCCTCCACGTGCCTGTATGACCTCCCTACAACGCCTGGGCATGCTCCTGGTGAGGTGGTGGATGGTCTCCTAAGGGATCTCCTCCCAGACCTGGACTAAAGCATCCGCCAACTCCTGGACAGTCTGTGGTTCAACGTGGCGTTGGTGGATGGAGCGAGACATGATGTCCCAGATGTGCTCAATTGGATTCAGGTCTGGGGAACGGGCGGGCCAGTCCATAGCATCAATGCCTTCCTCTTGCAGGAACTGCTGACACACTCCAGCCACATGAGGTCTAGCATTGTCTTGCATTAGGAGGAACCCAGGGCCAACCGCACCAGCATATGGTCTCACAAGGGGTCTGAGGATCTCATCTCGGTACCTAATGGCAGTCAGGCTACCTCTGGCGAGCACATGGAGGAAAGAAATGCCACCCCACACCATGACTGACCCACCGCCAAACCGGTCATGCTGGAGGATGTTGCAGGCAGCAGAACGTTCTCCACGGCGTCTCCAGACTCTGTCACGTCTGTCACGTGCTCAGTGTGAACCTGCTTTCGTCTGTGAAGAGCACAGGGCGCCAGTGGCGAATTTGCCAATCTTGGTGTTCTCTGGCAAATGCCAAACGTCCTGCACGGTGTTGGGCTGTAAGCACAACCCCCACCTGTGGACGTCGGGCCCTCATACCACCCTCATGGAGTCTGTTTCTGACCGTTTGAGCAGACACATGCACATTTGTGGTCTGTGGTCACCACCTGCAGAACCACTTCTTTATTGGGGGTGTCTTGCTAATTGCCTATAATTTCCACCTGTTGTCTATTCCATTTGCACAACAGCATGTGAAATGTATTGTCAATCAGTGTTGCTTCCTAAGTGGACAGTTTGATTTCACAGAAGTGTGATTGACTTGGAGTTACATTGTGTTGTTTAAGTGTTCCCTTTATTTTTTTGAGCAGTGTATGTAAATAGAGTAGTGTAAAAGGATAAGATTGCCAAACATCATAACTTTTCAACACCAACAAAAACAGGTCAATAAGTGAAATAGGTAAAATAAGTTTCAAAGGAATGACACCTACCTTCAACAACCTGTCCACAGCAGTATGCAGATCTGCCACTTCATTATCATGCCTTCTCCGGAGTGTATCCATGACTCCCTCCATTTTCTTACGCTCCTACAGACATGAAACCCAAGGAGAGAACTTTGCTCATTGGCTCTGGATTAAAAAAGGGGCTTTCACAAAACTATATAGAGGGGCCTTTGTAAGTTTGAGCTGGCTGTTCTCCCTCTCCCTGTTACTTCCTCTACCACATATGTGGATAAACACCTGTGCCGAGGCAAGGAGGAATGCTGCAGAAAGGAGTGTCCCTGGCCTAGCCCCTCTCTTTAAATGAAAACAGTTTCATCTTTATTTCCAACATACACTATACAGTGCACTCAGAAAGTATTCAGACCCCTTGACTTTTTCCACATTTTGTTACGTTAGCCTTATTCTAAAATGGATTAAATTGTTTTTTCCCCTCAATCTACACACAATACCCCATAGTGACAAAGCAAAAACAGGTTTTTTGAAATATCACATTTACATAAGTATTCAGACCCTTTACTCAGTACTTTGTTTTAGCACCTTTGTCAGTGATTTCAGCCTAGAGTCTTCTTGGGTATGACGCTACAAACTTGGCACACCTGTATTTGGGGAGTTTCTCCCATTCTTCTCTGCAGATCCTCTCAAGCTCTGTCAGGTTGGATGGGGAGCATCGCTGCACAGCTATTTTCAGGTCTCTCCAGAGATGTTTGATCGGGTTCAACAGGAAGTGTGTTGGTGGTTCCAAACTTCCATTTAAGAATGGAGGCCACTGTGTTCTTGGGGACCTTCAATGCTGCAGAAATGTTTTGGTACCCTTCCCCAGATCTGTGCCTCGACACAATCCTGTCTCAGAGCTCTACGGACAATTCCTTCAACCTCATGGCTTGGTTTTTGCTCTGACATGCACTGTCAACTGTGGGACCTTACATAGACAGGTGTGTGCCTTTCATGTCCAATCAATTGAATTTACCACAGGTGGACTCCAATCAAGTTGTAGAAACATCTCAAAACAGGATGCACCTGAACTCATTTTCAAGTCTCACAGCAAAAGGTCTGAATACTTATGTAAATAAAAAGGTATGTTTTTAACTTTTTTATAAATTTGCTAAAATTTCAAAAAACCTGTTTGCGCTTTGTCATTATGGGGTATTGTGTGTAATTGATTTAATACATTTTAGAATAAGGCTGTAACGTAACAAAATGTGGAAAAAGTCAAGCGGTCTGAATACTTTCCAAATGCACAGTATATACAAAGTGATGTGGACACCCCTTCAAATTAGTGGATTCGGCTCTTTCAGCAACATCAGTTGCTGACAGGTGTATAAAATCAAGCACACATTTACATTATTTAGCAGACGCTCTTATCCAGAGCGACTTACAAATTGGTGCATTCACCTTATGATAGCCAGTGGGACAACAACTTTTTTTTATTATTTTTTTATGGGGGGGGGGGGGGGGGGGGGGGTGTAGAAGGATTACTTTTATACTATTCCAGGTATTCCTTAAAGAGGTAGGGTTTCAAGTGTCTCCGGAAGTTGGTCAGTGACTCCGCTGTCCTGGCGTCGTGGGGGAGCTTGTTCCACCATTGGGGTGCCAGAGCAGTGAATAGCTTTGACTGGGCTGAGCGGGAACTGTGCTTCCGTAGAGGTAGGGGGGCTAGCAGGCCAGAGGTGGATGAACGTAGTGCCCTCGTTTGGGTGTAGGGTCTGATCAGAGCCTGAAGGTAAGGTGGTGCCGTTCCCCTCACAGCTCCGTAGGCAAGCACCATGGTCTTGTAGTAGATGCAAGCCTCAACTGGAAGCCAGTGGAGTGTGCGGAGGAGCGGGGTGACATGAGAGAACTTGGGAAGGTAGAACACCAGACGGGCTGCAGCGTTCTGGATAAGTTGTAGGGGTATAATGGCACAGGCAGGGAGCCCAGCCAACAGCGAGTTGCAGTAATGCAGACGGGAGATGACAAGTGCCTGGATTAGGACCTGTGCCGCTTTCTGTGTAAGGTAGGGTCGTACTCTACAACGAATGTTGTAGAGCATGAACCAGCCATGCAATCTCCATAGACAAACATTGGCAGTAGAATGGCCCATACTGAAGAGCTCAGTGACTTTCAACATGGCACCGTCATAGGATGCCACCTTTCCAACAAGAGTTCGTCAAACTTTTGCCCTGCTAGAGCTGCCCTGGTCAACTAAGTGCTGTTATTGTGAAGTGGAAACGTCTAGGAGCAACAACGGCTCAGCCGCAAAGTGTTAGGCCACACAAGCTCACAGAACGGGACCGCTGAAATGCTTAGCGCGTAAAAACCGTCTGTCCTCAGTTGCAACACTAAGCCTAAGATCACCATGCACAATGCCAAGCATCAGCTGGAGTGGTGTAAAGCTCGCCGCCATTGGACTCTGGAGCAGTGGTGAATCACACTTCACCATCTGGCAGTCCGACGGACTAATCTGGGTTTGGCAGATGCCAGGAGAACGCTACATGCCCCAATGCATAGTACCAACTGTAAAGTTTGGTGGAGGAGGAATAATGGTCTGGGGCTGTTTTTCATGATTTGGGCTAGGCCCCTTAGTTCCAGTGAAGGGAAATCTTAACACTACAGCATATAGTGACAGTCTAGATGATTCTGTGCTTCCAACCTTGTGGCAACAGTTTGGGGAAGGCACTTTCCTGTTTCAGCATGACAATGCCCCGTGCACAAAGCGAGGTCCATACAGAAATGGTTAGTCGAGATCGGTGTGGAAGAACTTGACTGGCCTGCACAGAGCCCTGACCTTAACCCCATTGAACACCTTTGGGATGAATTGGAACGCTGACTGCGAGCCAAGCCTAATCGACCAACATCAGTGTCCGACCTCACGAATGCTCGTGGCTGAATGGAAGTAAGTTCCCGCAGCAATGTTCCAACATCTAGTGGAAAGCCTTCCCAGAAGAGTGGAGGCTGTTATAGTAGCAAAGGGGGTGGACCAACTCCATATTAATGCCCATGATTTTGGACGAGCACAGGTCCACATACTTTTGGTCATGTAGTGTACCATATGCCCCAATATAAGCCCTATTACTTAACTTTTTCTCATTCCTTTTTAAATTTTCCAAAGGTATGTTTTCAATTAAACCAATGCATTCTTAATGACTCAGCTCAAGTTATTTGCTTGCTTTGTTTTTATAGTTCTTAAGTTGATATAGAGCAAATTAAATGTTTAATTTCTAGCACTGTGTACTATACTGATGTAATGCAGTCCTCAGAATGTCACTTACCTCTTCTCTCACCCTGTCCTCTACACGGGAAAGCTGCTGCTGCATGTTCTCCTCCAGCTTTGTCAACTGACTTGTGTTGAGCTCCTCTGTTCTGTCGGCACACAGAGATACATACCATTTACATGTCTGCCCTGGATGCCATCAAGTGCAAAACAACTGCCCAAACACTAGTTCAGCAAAAGTGATGAGTCAGAAAATGAAGTTGAGGCATTGTTTGCAAGCCTTCAAAAACAGCAACACGGCACATAGAAGTACACCTTTTGGTTCCAATCATATCTGGTCCATTTGTATCCATTGCCCATGTGTTTTCATCTAATGGTCTACTTTGAGCGGGCAGGACTCACTACTCAGTTAAATGTGTTCTGTCATAATCAGGTGACAACACTTGGTCCAGCCAGTCATGAGTCAGGCGAGGCCCCCTAGGAGGCAAATGCCACAGGTTCACAAGACTGGGCTCTGCATAGTTTGAGATTTAATGAATGACAAATTGATTAAACATCTATATTTGTGTCAGAATTTGGGGTTTTACAGGCACATTCATTTGCATAAGTGAAGGGAATAGGCCTGAATGGAAATATATAAAGGGACAACTCAGTTTACAAGGAGATAATGATGAGATCAGGCAGAGCAACTCATTTAAGATTTCCTACTTCCTTGAGAAATGTAATCCCTATCTAATGAAATGCAGCCTCTGAACCACAAAACCGACTCCACCCCATCTAAGGTTACAATTCAGTAGTTGAATTCAGTAGTTGGAAACATGCAATTATGTGTGATGATCACTTTTCTGTGGGATGCATAGGTTACTGGCACAATCAACTCACATTTGTAAAAGTAAACTGATTAACAGCACAGGCCTGCTCTTGATTGGATCATTGTTGCACGGATATCCCACAACATGAACATTACATATGTGTATCCAGTAACACAAACAGACAAATGACCGAATTAACTGATATAAATATGTTCCATTCTTTGGAACCCAATTAGAGGGAGAAGATAACATATTCAGGCAATACATTTGGTAGATTTTTTCTCAATTTAGTGTTTCCCTCCACCCCCTGTGGAATCTGACCCAAGGTATGCTGCTATGACTGAATTGCTACCTTCTTAAACTGGTTTCCACCTGCTCGCTCTCAAGCCTGTGGTCCTTGCTCTCAGTGACAAGAGCATCAATAAATCCCTCATATTGTTGCAACATGAGAGGTTCTGAGGTGGAGTAAATGGCTTGGTACAGCTCAGCCAATTGATCACGCAGTCTGAAAGAGAAGAACGAGACTATGGACAACAGTAATTTCAAAATGTTACATATTTATAAAAATCAGAGGGATTAACGAATATCTACATATTGCACCCACATAGTCTACTGTAAGAGCAAGTCCAAATTGGTCAAACTATTCACACCAACCAACCACCAGATAGATTTACCTTCCTGAGAGGAGACCTGTTACATCGTCCATCCTGCTCTGGAACTCGTCCCAAGGACTCTCTTGACTTTGAGGAGACGCCCCAAAAGAGGCTAAATCCAATGTTTCTGAAACCTCTTGAAACCGAGAGGAGAAATTGCTGTAATTGATACATCCATCTGCACTAGCACCGAATTTGTTGAATAACGTTTTGATTTCGTCTTCAGGCACATTGAGCTCTCGACAAACAACCGTAAAGTCTTCGAATTCAATCACACCAGATTTGTTAATGTCACACGCTGAAAACACTCTTTGGAGGCTGGCTTTGTCCATGGCTTCGTATTTCGAGTTTAAAAGTTACATTAAGTCCGCCTTGGGAAATCGATAGGCTAGCAACAGCTTGGACCATTTGATCCCCACCTTTATTTGTATAATGTTATCCAGCACCAGCATTCAGAATTTCCGCCCGACACTTGCCAGAGGTGAGAAGAGGAGGCGGTAATACTTTTCCCATGCTAATTATGAACTCTATTCACTACCGTACAATCAAAAGGCCACTGATTGGCTCAGCTGGCTCAAAATGGGCGAGACTGCGCAAGCATACCATACTTGCGTTGCGTTGTTTTGCGTTCATAACCAAGTGGGAAGTTACCATATACGACTGGGGAAAATCCAATTAAACGCCCCTCCAACTGGCAATTACTAGTGGGAAACTTGTCTATGATTAAATTTAACCTTTTATAGAATGGGTGGTTCAGAACCACTGGTTCTAATCCTGAATGATGATTGGTTAAAACCGCATTCCAGCAGTGGCAATTCCACAAGTTACCACCGGCTAAATCTATGACATTAAAATGCCTATTTACTCTGTTCCAGCTGACTGCGCAATCCATTGTCTCATCAGCCCAGCCAGGCAATTTATAAACTTGATCTCCACTATAAAACGCATCCAGACATTATCTCACATTTCTTTTAAACTAACATTTAGTTTTCAACAGCATTTGTATAAACCTTGTTGTCAGTCTCTCCTACATTTGCAACATTGTTTCAATATTCAAATTAGATCTCCAGCTGTCCAATAGTAATGTTGGCAGTCTGGATGAGACAGACAGGCAGGCAGCATTTCTCAGCCAGTCAAAATCATGAATCAGCTGGCATAATTTTTATGGATATATACAATGAAATGTCAATTGAAAAAAGGTGAAACAAAACGGAGTGCAGATAGTTTGCAGTCTTTCCAGCTTCAGTTTGAAGTTATTGTGTTAGCTGTGTTGTTGGCTAGTTCCTCTGAACAAGTGAGCACATTTTCTTTGCCAGACGAAATCGCGCCTCATTAGCTCATTGTTATGTATGTTTCCAAATAATTGTCACTAGTAAACAGCTTGAACAAATGCAAATGCAGCTACTTTGCTGTTATTCTGGCTGCACTTTTTGACGTGACTGTAAATTAGCTGTAGTTGGCTAGCTAGCAAGCAATGGATAACGTTGCCAGCCAGTATGGCAATGGAACATTTAGAACGAACGACTGGGTCGCGTCCATAGATACAGAACAAAAAGACTGAAGGACTGGGTCATGTCTCTGGCAACCGAAGGATAGAAGGAACGACCAGTCGGCTTCGGTAGCAACCCTAGATTTGTGTCAGGACTATATCTTGTGAAAGGATGAAATAGTATGAATCAATTCATAAAAATAACGTTTTTAATGAAAATATGTCAATCCTTATTTTAATATGTTGGTAACCCGTTGTATAAATAGTAGGCTATATGATGCATTTGCACAGTCGGGAAGATTCTTTTTTTTATCCATTGGTAGGATATGGCAAGGATCCTACCTATAACCACGTTTCCATCCACACTTTTTGTGAAAGTAAAGTCATCCCATATAAAAACATTTTTGCTACAGCTGTGATGGAAACAAGAAGTTTCGGTCCAATTGTATGAATGCCGTCATAATTTGGTCGTTGGACATGGTATCTTTTTGTGTTGGTAAAATTAATTACGTGAGAAATGACGGTGGAAACTCCTTTATGCGTAAATCTTGATATAACTAACCATCATATCGAAGTAAACTTGGAGTCACGCGATGATATGGTGTGTGGTCCTCCCACTACTACCACTCTGGAAACAATGCAATGTATTAGGCTACAGATGAAATAACGTATGATGAACTTCGCAGGGTGGTGAAGTGCATGGTGATGTTGAAGCTCCTTTCCAATAAATATCGAGGATCTGATTCTGGTGACATGATGATCGATGCTTGACTGCCGTTTGACAAATACAAATATTCTCACTCTTATCCATAATAATCTCATAATGTAGACTAGCCTACCCACACTGTATCTGCAAACTGTTGGCTAGAGTTGAAAATGCGATGGAAACACATTGAACTTTAGAATATCCATCATTGAACTTTAGATTTATATTCGATACATGAAAACGTAAACGAACAATTACATTCATGTGCACTACATCATCACTCACATATTTTTTTTTTAATCAACAAGTATTTTAGGTGGAAACACACCACTGGTGGGAAAATGCGCAACTTCTCTTTATGCGGATTTGAGAATATTCGCATGAAAATCTGTCTCCAATAGGATGGAAACCTAGCTTATTACACTAAAGTAGACTCTTTATCTATTGTCCTTTCAGGTGTGGACTGCACTCTTTATCAAGAATACTTGCCTGCCTGCCATTGTTGCACTGTGTGCATACGGTAATTAACTCCACCCTACCATGTGATATCCCTAGCCATACTACAGTTCCATGCCTTCACTATTGTGACAGAAACAGCTCTACAAAAAATACCGAACTAAATTATTGGCCTATTTGTTTTACATGACAATGCAAGAATTAGGCTCAAATAAAGTCTGAACATGTTCTTCGCTGTTCTTCACAGATGTTTTTATATGAGTCTGGTAGAATGCGTCAGCAAACACTGTTCTCCGCCTTAATGTGACTAATGTGTTGACAGAGAACACAGTCACTAACCACGTTTCCATCCACAGTTTTTATGTGAGTAAAATCATACCATATTTTTTAAAAATTAAGACAGCTGTGATGGAAATAGGAAGTTTCGGTACAATTGTATAAATGCCGACGGATCATTTGTTTGTTCGACATGGTGGGATCTTTCTGAGTCAGTACAATTAATTATGTGATAAATGACTGTGGAAACACTTCTATACGCAAATATTGATAAAGTAACCATCATAACAAAGTAAACTTGGAGTCACGCGATGACGTTGTGTGATCCTCCCACTACGACTAGTCGGGAAAGCATGCACTTTATTAGGCTACAGATGAAATAAGTTATGATGAACTTCACAGGGTGGTGAAAGTCAGGGGTCCCCCCCCCCCACACACACACATATTCTGAAATTGCATTTTTGCCCCCCCCAGTTTTATCATTGGAATGTGATTCAAAACAAGGCAACGGTGTGCTTTAGGACCATGGGGACGCCTCCGAGCGGTCGGGTAGGCTGTTTGGAGTGTTTATCCAACTGGATAAAAAAAATATTAATAATAATATTGTGGCCACACATTGATAATGTAATAGCAGAATCAGGCAAGTCTGGAACTAGTCTGCTACACCAAGATCTGGATCCATTTAGCAATGACTGACCCTTTATATTATATAATTCGTTTGATGGGTGCTTGCTTTACAAACAAGTGCTTAAAGGCCCAGTGCAGTCAAAAATGTGACATTCCTGTGTTTTATATAACCTGAGTGTACAAAACATTAGGAACACCTTCCTAATATTGAGTTGCACCCCCCTTTGCCCTCAGAACAGCCTCAATTCCTCAGGACATTGACTCTACATGGTGTCAAAAGCGTTCCACAGGGATGCTGGCCCATGTTGATTCCAATGCTTCCCACAGTTGTCTCAAATTGGCTGGAAGTCCTTTAGGCAGCAGTGTTGCAGTTCTTGACACACTCAAACCGGTGCGCCTGGCACCTACTACCATACCCCTTCAAAGGAACTTAAATATTTTGTCTTGCCCATTCACCCTCTGAATGGCACACACACAATCCATGTCTCAAGGCTTAAGAATCCTTCTTTAACCTGTCTCCTCCCCTTCATCTACCCTGATTGAAGTGGATTTAACAAGTGACATCAATAAGAGATCATAGATTTCACCTGGATTTACCTGGCCAGTCTATGTCATGTAAAGAGCAGGTGTTCCTAATGTTTTGTACACTCAGTGTATATTTCCACACTATGAGGTTGGAATAATACTGTGAAATTGTGAAAATGCTCTAATAGTGCAAGAGATGTTTGAAAAGACCACCTGAAATTTCAGCCTGTTTAAGGGGGAGATGGAGTTTTGGCCTGCCAGAGGTGCATTCAGTTCGCTTAAACATTTGCTATGTTGCAGAACGGTTTGTACTGAATGACATGTTTCCCCAAAATGTTCTTGTACGTTCTTTAACATGCTTTGAGGTACGTTTGCTCCCGTCTGATGGTTGTGGCGAGGTGTGGCTTGAAGCAATAAGTGACGTATTTAAAGGGCAGTGGCCATGCTGACAGCGTTCCTCAACCTACACACCAACCCCTCCCAAGTTTTCAACTGGTCGTTCAGTACAGCACCGTTTCCGTTCAATTGAATGTTCCAGAACGTAAACACATACTGAATGCAGCCCTGGTGACATCACCATACAGTGCATTATTTAATAGACCAATAAGAAAGAGTTCCAAAACTCTCTGCCAATAACAGCTAGTTTTACGTTTTCCCCTCCCCACTCAGACCACTCCCAGACAGTCCTAGATAAATTCTTGCTTGAGTAATTGCTCTTTGCTAAGAAGCTATTTTTGTTTCATTTTGGCCATTTTAATTGAAAACAATCACAGTAAGGTACTTAATTGTTACCCAGAAATGATTTGATATTGAGATAAAAAACAGCTGCATTGGACCTTTAAGACCAATGTGACAAACACCATTTGTGTCCTAGATTCTTATTCTTTCTACATTGAGGTTATTCTATTATGCATTATAACTTTAGAGTTCATTAACCATATAGGAAACTAAATGTAACCATTTATCTTTATTTGAAAAATTAAAATAAGGTGCTTTTATGTACAGAACAACAAAAACAACTGAAACAGTAGTGATGTACAATACAAAAAATACAGTTCACAACAGCTTTTTACATTGGCAGCTCAATTTACAAAACATTTTTACATACAAACTTACAAGACAATTTGACACGAGTCAGAGAAACCTGGTGCACTGTCACAAATAGAAGGCTTGACTGAAGTGGTTCTTCAACTGAAAGAGGTTCCTTACTGCAACTCAGTAGAAGCTTATTACTACAGTCTCAAAAACCTTATGCAAGTATATATCAATTTGGAGCAGTGATCAAACAAAATAGATTTGTATGCTGCATGTCTGAGCCTATTATGGTAGATATTCAGGTTGATTTTGTTCTGAGTTCTGCTAATGTATTATTGTTTAGATTTTAGATAACAACCACTTTACTCAACAGATCCAAGCTGCCATTTCTTCTTGCAATGTTTGTAACAAAATACAAATCATACATTTGAAATTCAGTTGTAAAGACAGCATTTCAAATTCTTCCCCTCAATTGTTTGTTACAACTGGAGTCTTTGAAATCCTGATGGAGCTCACAATAGTTGTATAGACATTACTAGTATGATATTTCTGTACAGGTTGAGACTATAATTCAAAATGTATAGTCAAAAACAATGGTTTGCAATAGTGTCAACACAGAAATACAAGGTGACTGAGGTTGAAGCCATTCTAACAGAATTATTTGTACAGATACTGATCATAAGTGTTTTAATATCATTGTTGGGTATGCCCAGTACAGTTCTACAGTCTATTCTGTCGCACCTATCATGCAGGTGATGCTGCTGCTACCTGGTTGTCCATGTGATTGAGTAATATCACAAGGTCAGGCGTACACATTTTAGAACCTCAAGAGGCACAACTCTTGATTCCTGAATTTAGCTTGAAGGCATGAAAAAAATGAGTTGAATATGTAATACATAATTCTCAACAAAACCCCCATCTGTGTTCCAAACTAAGGCTTTCCAACATCCTGTGCAAAAACAACGCATTCTGAGTCGAGATGTTTGCTGGTTCTGCACTTTGATCACAATGATACAACTTTCACTAGTCCACTCAACTACAATACAAATGTACATTATATACACTCAGCCACCATGGCAGTCCTTTAGCAGTATGCTTTTTTCACAGCTACTTTGTCAAAAATTGTGAAATTGTAAGGCCCTTGTACAAATGTCAATAAACTTAAATAAGACAACATTGTTTTACTTAGAAATAGTTTTGGAATAATTGTATCACTACATTCACACAACGCAATGTTGCAAGAGTTTACCATAATTTTGCACTGACATAGCTACATCTTTGGAATATGAAATCTATATTCTTAAATTGTACCTTTAGAATTATTATCTTTCCAATCATGAACAGCTGAAAACGTATACCTGTTATTAGGTAATGCCTCAATGAAAGCCCTTGCTTTTGGATGAATATTTCTGCAGGTTCCATCCTTTCACAATATCTGTTTATTTTTGTTTTTAAAAGCCATTCCTCCATTGACTGGTCCATAACTGCTGTGATAGCCTTGGCTCCATGTTAGTAAAACCCAGTTTACAGTCATTAGTGTCATTAAACCAGAGGTGATGTTGGTAACAATGGCAGCTTTCATATACACTGAATGGCTACGTTATGAATGGTTTGATACTGTTTGATACATGCAGAATTAGTCAGGCCCATTAAACATAAGACATTGATTTGACATGACAGTTGTGTTGGAAAGGATGAAAACAGAATACACATTTTGGCACAACATAAATGAACACAGAGCATGGTTTCCTCTGGGTGTGAGTCACAATCATCAACACCAACAGCACCATACTCCACTGGCTGACTCTGTTGTGTTGCCACACTCTACAGGTGGTTCTTCTAACCTCTGCTGTCTACTAGCCTCTGAATCACAGGGAAAGAGCTATCTAAGCAACGTGGTGAACAGGTTTTCATACAGTCTCAGCCCACTTTAACTCGGTGTCTGATGTGACTGAATTTGGATCGATGGAATCAGTTTCTGACTGACAAACTCTGAACTAGTCAGCAACCATTTTATACCAGAACCTCAGCCTAGCTACAACAACTCCAGGCCTAGTGATAGCCTCTCTCTCATCCCCTGCTTCGGACACAGAAAGGGCTCAAAATCTTTTGCATACTAAATTGTATGTGAGTATAATGCCTCTGAATCTCAGTAATCAAGATTGTGCGGACACCTACAGTGCCTTGCAAAAGTATTCATCTCCCTTGGTGTTTGTCCTATTTTGTTGCATTACAACCTGTAATTTAAATTGATTTTTATTTGGATTTCATGTAATGGACATACACAAAATAGTCCAAATTGGTGAAGTGAAATAAAAAATATAACTTATTTCAAAAAATTCAAAAAAATAAATAACGGAAAAGTGGTCCGTGCATATGTATTCACCCCCTTTGCTATGAAGCCCCTAAATAAGATCTGATGCAACCAATTACCTTCAGAAGTCACATAATTAGTTAAATAAAGTCCACCTGTGTGCAATCTAAGTGTCACATGATCTCAGTATATATACACCTGTTCTGAAAGGCCCCAGAGTCTGTAACACCACTAAGCAAGGGGCACCACCAAGAAAGCGGCACCATGAAGACCAAGCAGCTCTCCAAACAGCTCAGGGACAAAGTTGTGGAGAAGTACACATCAGGGTTGGGTTATAAAAAAATATCAGAAACTTTGAACATCCCACGGAGCACCATTAAATCCATTATTAAAAAATGGAAAGAATATGGCACCACAACAAACGTGCCAAGAGAGGGCCGCCCACCAAAACTCACGGACCAGGCAAGGAGGGCATTAATCAGAGAGGCAACAAAGAGACCAAAGATAACCCTGAAGGAGCTGCAAAACTCCACAGCGGAGATTGGAGTATCTGTCCATAGGACCACTTTAAGCCATTCACTCCACAGAGCTGGGCTTTACAGAAGAGTGGCCAGAAAAAAGCCATTGCTTAAAGAAAAAATAAGCAAACACGTTTGGTGTTCGCCAAAAGCCATGTGGGAGACTCCCCAAACATATGGAAGAAGGTACTCTGGTCAGATGAGAATAAAATTGAGCTTTTTGGCCATCAAGGAAAACGCTATGTCTGGCGCAAACCCAACACCTCTCATCAGCCCAAGAACACCATCCCCACAGTGAAGCATGGTGGTGGCAGCATCATGCTGTGGGGATGTTTTTCATCGGCAGGGACTGGGAAACTGGTCAGAATTGAAGGAATGATGGATGGCGCTAAATACAGGGAAATTCTTGAGGGAAACCTGTTTCAGTCTTCCAGACATTTGAGACTGGAACAGAGGTTCACCTTCCAGCAGGACAATGACCCTAAGTATACTGCTAAAGCAACACACAAGTGGTTTAAGGGGAAACATTTAAATGTCTTGGAATGGCCTAGTCAAAGCCCAGACCTCAATCCAATTGAGAATCTGTGGTATGACTTAAAGATTGCTTTACACCAGCGGAACCCATCTAACTTGAAGGAGCTGGATCAGTTTTGCCTTGAAGAATGGGAAAAAATCCCAGTGGCTAGATGTGCCAAGCTTATAGAGACATACCCCAAGAGACTTGCAGCTGTAATTGCTGCAAAAGGTGGCTCTACAAAGTATTGACTTTGGGGGGGTGAATAGTTATGCACGCTCAAGTTTTCTTTTCTTTTGTCTTATTTCTTGTTTGTTTCACAAAAAATATTTTGCATCTTCAAAGTGGTAGGCATGTTGTGTAAATCAAATGATACAACCCCCCCAAAAATCCATTTTAATTCCAGGTTGTAAGGCAACAAAATAGGAAAAATGCCAAGGGGGGTGAAAACTTTGGCAAGCCACTATATGCGCCTGCACAGTCTCAAGATGAGATTCTCTTTTGGTGTGACCTTGCACCCCACTTTACATTATGTGCTTTGCATAGTCTGTCGGCTCCATAATGAATAATATGTTAATACCTGGTCTAGGGTCTTCCCCAATGTCAGGGGTACACTTCAACCCAATGAATGTCAATCGAACACAATTTAGGCACCATATCCTCCAATTCCTTGGGATGTACACACCACTCTCCATTTGAGGGGATAGTGTTGTTTTTTCTCTATCCTCCATCACAAGACATGTTAGTCATTCAAGTCTTGACTTAATCCTGTAAATTCCTGGTGGAGCAGAGCAGAGGACCTCGACAATAACACCTCTCCAGTATTCTGTTATTCTGTTGTGTGCTCTTTTTCCACACCTCATGCCAGTTGGTCCCTACCTCTTTAATTCCTTCCTCATTGGTTCCTCTCCATGTCTCTCTGGGATGTTCAGCCCTCTCTTGACCAGTGGATTCCATTCTAATGTATGTCTGGTTATGCTGCATTGAGGTCTATCCACAGTTTAAACTACTTTGAATTAATAGCTCTTAGACTGCTGTTATAACTAAGTCATCAGTGAAAGGCCTAATGATCTACTTACTATAGTGTTTGAATTAGAGGTTGTTTGTTATTCTACTATCCTCCATGCACTGAGTCTGTCGAATGTCTCAGTGCAGGGCTAAGCGCACACTAACTGTGGATGTAGGTGGGAGAGTTAAGGGTCAGCTGTGGACCCACAGAGTATCTCTCTACTTTCAACGCAAGGCCAACAGAACATTTGGACGGACTGAGTGGCAATGCATAAAAACAACATATAAAAACTGTTAAGAAGGACAATATCAGCTGTATGTGTCCAATGTCCACCATAAGCATCATTCCACAGTTTCAGTAGTCTGAAGGCAATCTGTATCAGCTTCCTCTTCATTGTGCTTCAGGTGCACCAGAGAAAGAGGAGTGACAATAAGGAAAAGAACTGACCACAGGGACTAAATAAAAAAAACAAAAGTGCAAAAGCAGTGTAATGAAATGTCCCTCTGCAAAGAAGTTAACGTTTTTCAGTGTTCCTTCCTTTTGTGTTTTTATTTTATTTTAAGTCCCTCTTTCCTTACGGCTAATAGTTAGTCACTCCACATTAGGGTTTTATCTCCTGCTCAAGTTTATCAAAGCCGTCCTCACACAATGGAGTCTTTGATCTCTGAGCCCAGTCTCACCCGAGGCCGCGGGCAGATGGGCGAGATCTCTACAGTGCTCTCCTTCAAGTTCAGAGGCCTCTTTTCGGACTCCGAGAAGCTCTTGCTGTTGTCTGGTGACGAGCACTCGTGCGGCGGTGTGCTGCAGATGTAGTTGTCATTGAGGGTCTGGTAACCCTTGTGGTCTGACACAGACGCTGGCACTGTGCTGTTGCCATTCAGAGGCAAGTTTTCTGCCGGATTCACCACTATCCTGGGTTTCTTCTGCTGCATGTTGGGGCACTCACCCTCCTTTAGCATGGACTTCATGCGGTTGTGGTTCCTGTAGACCGCAAACAGGGAAAAGACCACCAGGGAAAAGCCCAACAGGGCACACACTACAATGAGCTCATTCCAGTAGGTCTTGGTGTTGATCTGTGGGGAGCGGGTCTCTCCAGGTAGGATGATTGGCTCCTCCTGTGAGACCAGAGGGGTGTGTGAACGGCCAATGAGGGTGGTGCTCTCCTTCCTGGCCTCTCCCCTCACACAGTAGTTGGCCAGGAGTTGCCTGAAGCCCTCCTCTACTGACCAGCACTCATAGGTCTCCTGTCTGTCAGCCTGGGCCACCACCACTAGACCTCCCTCAGGACTTGGGTACAGGAAGTGACCTGCACTCTCACTGTACTCCCACCTCCTCTCAGCCAGGTTGGAGCGCAGCTTACAGGGCAGCACTTTGAACATGTTGGCTGGGATCATTATCACCTGGCATGAAGACATCCCTGCGGACAACAAGAGAAAGGGCTTTTTCATTTGTGAAAGCAAGTCCATCTCAGGTAGATAAAAAAAACTGCATTATTATATCAGTGTGGTATCTGAGTAGGACTGTGATGAGAATGAACAAATTAAATTAGCTTGGAATTGATAATCATGGTAGGGAACATTGGAATAAAATGTTCATCAAAATGTAAATGTGGCGTTTGCAGCAGTCCCAGAGTAGAGCACAGTGGTACAGTTTAGAGCTGAGAGGATTTAGTCCAGCAGGAACTAATGGTGTGGTACAGTACTTACGTGTGGGTGGGGGTTTAGCAAAGCGAGGGCTGGGCTGTGTCTTATTGCAGATAACGGATGTGTCTGCCTCGTCCACGTCCTGCTGCCAGTGGCTGAGAACACAGACACAATGGTAAATCAGACAAATGGGTGTCTCAGAACTGCTCAGAACCTCTAACTGACACCATCAATCTACACATAGCAGGTCTTAACAGACTACAGTGGGAGTCTGCACATACAGCATGTACTGTAAGCAGACAGTATTGAGCATTGTGCTGTATTGTCACTTTTTCTTTGGTGTGCTCTAATGTTCCGAAAAGTTATCAGTCATTATGAGAGCTTAGCATCTAACTAGTTTATACCATTATCTGGTATCATGCTAATACAAGGCTAGTATCTCTTTGATGAGCAACACCTACATGTCCATGAGTGGACCATGGAAATGTAATGTATGGAGGCTGGTGGTCTGGGGCAAACATACCTATCTGGTGGAGCCAGCCTGACATTCAGACACTGCCTCCCTTCCCAGGCACAGTAAGGGTCTCTGGACAGGACACACTCTCCACAGCTCTGGTAGTTGGAGCAGTTCGCCACAGGGACCTCCACCAGGCCAGAGTAGGAGGACACAAACAGCAGGTCCTGTAGAGGAGAGACCACCAGACAGTCAGTCAGGGGCCAGGGAGGAATAGGTATCTGGGTCACATATTCACAGACAGTTACCTCTCTTTAACACAATATCAACACCGTACCCTCGACGAACCCAATGCTGGAGGAACAAACTGAGCAACAATATAGAGTAACACAGGACCTAATTTCTTTCAGTTCCCCTGAGAGGAAGTTGCATGCAATTATCTCAATGAACGTGAGCTGAGCTCCCCTTTAGGCTCTGGCTCTCTTCACGGCTCATGGGACCCCTAAGCTGCCAGTGCTGACATTTAGTGAGCTCATTATTACTCCCACTATGAGGACATGCTCCAGAAATAAACTGATTTCCTGCTCTGTACTGTACCTTTTCAGAATCCAGTTCAATGTGTTGTACAGGCTGGGGGTCAGTGAAAAGCACCATCTCTTCAATGATGTGCATCTTGTTGTTGACATTAATGGCTTTGTGGAGTCTCCCGTCATCTGCCAGAGACATATGATAGAGCAGTGGATGGTTAATGTATGCTATAGCTCTGCCTCTCATACAGAACAGGAAAGGGGATAAGTTATGTCGACTGAGCCTGTTTACAGTACCTGTTCCAATGAAGAGCACATTGTAGTGTTTGTGGATGGCCTGGACCCGTTGGACAGCTATCTGGGTGTAGCGGATGCTGCGTTTCAGCAGGAGGGGCTGGCTGCGGATCACACTGTCCATCAGGAAGTGGTCCTTGACGAAGTTCAGTACCTTGTCAGGCATATGCAGAGAGGAGGGGATGCCCTGCTCCCGGACTGCATTAGTGATGCACTGTACAGGGAACACAGGGAGTCTCATAAGCACACACTGGGCAACAATACACACTACACAAGCTTACTACTCCCCCCTGCCTATCCTCATCAATATGTGTTTGTATCCTTCAGTTGATTATTTGATTTGATGTGTCCGTGATAAGTCTGCCAGGAAATGAAAGCAGCCGTAGCAGCAGCAGCTTTGATAACATCAGGCCTTCTGGGAAGAGGTCTGCTAGTGACAGCAGAGAGACAGATAGCTGCTTAATCACTGATGTTCAGTCCAGATTGGTGATGTGACTGAGAGGCAGGCTAGAACACATCCGATCTGCAAACACATGGTTGGCTTAGTTTAGCCTCCTGCAGGTTACTTATACCAGTGGTTCCCAACCAGGGGTACTGGGACCCCTGGGGGTACTTGGCCTATCCACAGGGGATACTTGAGAAGACTCATGAGACCATACGCCTAATGGTAAAATGCACGAGGAGGTACTTTAGGGGCACTCCGGGAAAAGCAAAATTCAGTTGGTGGTACAGTGACCAAAAGGTTGGGAACCACTGACTTAAACTGTGTAAGCTGCCCAGCAGAGGGCAGTGGTAACTCACCGCTCCAGGCTGTGGCTCGGGGATAGGGTGGTTGTAGGTGTACCACTGCTGGGTCTCCCGGTTGACCTCCCGGTAACGGCCGCTGAAGGCCCTCTCCACCTGGTCCATGGTGAAGGCACACACTGCTGAGCTGCCAGAGGCCCCTTTATACCTGGGATAACACCACATCACACAGGAGTGAGGCTACTACATGTTCGTCTTCCCCCAAATCGCTTTCCCAAAGTCATCCTATTCTTTACTCTGACAGTGGTGCTGAACTAATATGCAGTACTTGATTAATAATGTCTCAAATACACCAAAGACGAACTGAAGGAATGGAGATGTGGCTGTTTGCCCATGACTGGGTCAATAATAATCTGCTATAAACTGACAGTGAGCTGTTGTTGTATAGAGAAATGTTTATGTGGAGATGAGTGAAATATTAACTCAGACACTGAAGCTTTCAATACCCAAAGCAATGGGCCTATACACTCTTGCATGCTGTGTAAGTGATCATGTTAACTCTGTCCTCACCACTGTGAAGTGAAGACCCCGTAGAACACAGTGTTCTTCCAGTCTTCTGGGCTGGGCGTCAACACAAACATGTCCTGGATGATGTTGAAGGGGAAGCCATCGTCAGGCAGCGAACACAGGAGCTGGGCTTTAAGGAAGGTGGTCCATTTCTTCTGCAGCACCCTCTCTCCTCCTTTGTCACCCTGTAATACAATTAGAGCTCTGTTACATGGACCCGCAGTCATAGTAACCCAGTGTCCAGTAGAGGGCACAAGCATGTACGTTTAAACTGTAAACTGTAAAAGTAGTGGAAATGGTGAGAATGCATAATAATCCCTACTGCAATAAACATCGGTCTGAATGATGTCATTGCAACCAACATGCCTAAAATTATTCTACACCCTGTTGTTTACCCCGAAACTAAACAAACAATGTACACAAACAAGGCACTGTTTGAATTGACTTAAATGAGAAACAATAATCCTATAGTTAAACCACCAGACTGAGTACAACAGATTGTGACATAATACACATACCCCTGGGGCAATAGAATTCTAGGTCAAGAAAACAATATAAGACATCACAACTGGATGGGAGGAGAACACTGGGGAGGCCAAATGCTTTTCAATGAGAGAGAAAAGGACACTGCTCATACACACTACCTCTCCACTGACACTACTACTCTGAACATGTGCCTGTGGCACTACCCTGCCTGGTGGGCTGTGGTCATCTATGGGCGCATGATACCGGGTTGGCTTGAGATGCAAATAGAGCAGCACAGCTTTTCCATTAAGAAATATTATGCCTATACTTTTCACAGATAGCTGGCTGTACAGGAATTGTGTGGGGACATGCAATTGAAAAAATATATATAATTTGTCTGTTTACATACACTTGAGTCTGTGGCTCAGATTGCAGCAATTATTCCAATTCTTGTCTGGGACATAGATCTAAGGAGATTCAAAAGGCTGAGGGAGCAACGGTAAGTCATCTTCACAGAGCACTGTTCAGAGGACTAAAAAGAAACATAAAGAAGTCTAAATCTACATAACCCAGAGCCCTTTAACATGTGCCTTCATCCGAGTCCCCGTCAGCCCAACATTCATTAGAGGAAATGACATCGCTGAATGGGAAAGGGAAATGACACGTGACTAATGCTGAGTTTCTGAAGCCATTACTTGCTGTAGTAACCCAGCCAGATAATGAGCAACATATATTCCCTGCTCTGCTCCCCCTGGTCTACCTAGTTATTATTTTATACCAGAGAGAGTGTGTACCTACAGTCTCTTCCTGAATATTGGCCAGAAAGCACTCCATTTATTAACCCCTTACATAAGCCTCCCTTTCCAACACAGATGCATTGAGGGCCAGGTAGAATTTAAAGAATTTCAATAGTACCAAAGCTTGTTGTGTTTTTCTGTTTTCCACACAGCTGTATATTATTCCATAGCTGGCCTCACTGGAGCAGCACTTCTACTCTAAACACCTGAATAAACATCAGAGAAGGGACTGTGGCCAACAGAGAGAGTCAACTAAAGACAGAGAGAGATGGACTTTAAGTAATGGAAGATGCTCATGAGGAAGATGCAGTGTTGGTGGGGCTTACTATAAATGATGGGGCCAATGTGTGACACTGGGATATCTTTTTCAAAATGGTTTGAAACAAAAATAAAAAGCATTTTCATGCAGTTCAACATGTGTACTTAGAGGAATACAAGCGAATATATGAAAACTGGGTCATAACTCCACCTATACATCAACATAGGCTTAGGACTATACATCCTTTAAGCAGGGTTCATACAGACATTGGCAAGTCAAATTCAAGGATTTTCAGGGACTTTTCCAAGCACTTCATTGTAATTTTCATGGACCTCAATATTATACAATTGTATAATTTATATAACTGTCCTTATAGGGCCTAATATAGAACCAAAAAACATGCAAAAAGTGTCAAGAAAGTAGGCCATTACAACTTTAAGAATATTTTTTTTTTTAGACCTTACCAATGCATTGATATTCAAATTATTATTACATTGTAAAATATGTGTGAATAATGAGGACATTACCTGACTAAATAGATTGGATGCATGCATGCCGATTTTTCTGTAGCCTATGTGGCCGAAGCAGGCACACAGTAGGCTTATAAAGCCATGAATAGTGGTAACATTAATCTCACCATCTCTGTTTTTTTAATGAGAAAGTGACCAAAAACCAGGTTCCTTTTTTAAAGGAAGGATTTTTATGGAAAGCCAAGTTGAAGTTGTCGTCCTCATAATAACCGCATGTGGTTTTACCGCAGCAGAGTAGCGCAACACCCTTCAATTGAAGCGGCTGGAAACAAACTAAGTTCGCTGACGACACAACAGTGGTAGGCCTGATCACCGACAACTATGAGACAGCCTATAGGGAGGAGGTCAGAGACATGGCAGTGTGGTGCCAGGACAACAACCTCTCCCTCAATGTGAACAAGACAAAGTAGCTGATCGTGGACTGGAAAAGGAGGGCCGAACAGGCCCCCATTAACATCGACAGGGCTGTAGTGGAGCGGGTTGAGAGTTTCAAGTTCCTTGGTGTCCACATCACCAACGAACTGTCATGGTCCAAACACACCAAGACAGTTGTGAAGAGGGCACGACAATACCTTTTCCCCCTCAGGAGACTGAAAATATTTGGCATTGGTCCCCAAGTCCTTAAAAAGTTCTACAGCTGCACCATCGAGAGTATCCTGACCGGTTGCATCACCGCCTGGTACGGCAACTGCTTGGCATCTGACCGTAAGGCGCTACAGAGGGTAGTGTGTACGGCCCACTACATCACTGGGGCCAAGCTTCCTGACATCCAGGACCTATATACTAGGCAGTGTCAGAGGAAGGCCCAAAAAATTGTCAAAGACTCCAGTCACCCAAGTCATAGACTGTTCTCTCTGCTACTGCACGGCAAGCGGTACCGGAGCGCCATGTCTAGGACCAAAAGGCTCCTTAACAGCTTCTACCCCCAAGCCATAAGACTGCTGAACAATTAATCAAATGGCCACCCAGACTATTTACATTGCCCCCCCTTTGTTTTTACACTGCTGCTACTCGCTGTTTATTATCTATGAATAGTCATTTTACAAATTACCTTGACTAACCTGTACCCCCGCACATTGACTCGGTACCGGTATCCCCTGTATATAGCCTCGTTATTCTTATGTAATTTTCTTGTGTTACTTTTGGATGTTTTTATTTTTTTTACTTTAGTTTATTTAGTAAATATTTTCTTAACTCTATTTCTTGAACTGCATTGTTGGTTAAGGGCTTGTAAGTAAGCATTTCACGGTAAGGTCTACACCTATTGTATTCGGCGCATGTGACAAATACATTATGATTTGATTTGATTTGACATTTCTCACAAAAACGTATAAAAAATGAAATTATGGATAAGGAGTTGGACTTATTTAATTATTTGTACTGGCCAATGATTATAACGGCGATTCCAACGCGATTCTTGCCTGAGAGGATAGAAGTTCAATATGTAGCAAGATGTAGTAGGCTAATGTTTTTGTTTTTGGTATCTTTTAGTTGTCACTGTATTAGATTAAGCATAGGTGAGTTATATGCGAGAGAAAAAAAAAAAGAAAAAAAAAACATATGGGGGATTGGAAGTGATGCAGACAATTACATTGATGGAAGTTACAATCTATCTGCAATATTAAAGCTGATCTACCCCCTATAAAAAATAAAATAAAATAAAAAGCATAGGGGAGTTGATGATGTTGAACTGTTAAAGTTAAATGGTGCTGGAATATTGGAGGCAGCTCCTGATTTCTTTGTGAATTGCGGTAGCCTAACTCTCCATGGTTCTAAATCAATAGTTGTTTAATACTTCGAAACTGTTGGAAGCATTAACTTGCTTGACCATGCTGTAGGTCATGTAACTGTTTGTGGAATTCACCAGACAGATGTTTCTCTCTGGTTTTGTGATGAAACAAAGGTGTGGTTGAATTTATTCTGCCACAGATTTGTCTTTGTCTCGGCTTTAGGCCTACAGTGCATTCTGAAAGTATTCAGACACTTTCCCTTTTTCCACATTTTGTTGCGTTACAGCCTTATTCTAAAATTGATAAAATAAGTGTTTTTCCTTATCAATCTACACACAATACCCCATAATCAAAAAGTGAAAACAGGTTTTTAGAAATTTTAGCAAATGAGGTGTCACTACAGACCCGGGTTCGATCCCAGGCTGTGTCACAATCGGCCATTATCAGGAGTCCCATAGGGCGGCGCACAATTGGCCCAGCGTCGTCCGGGTTAGGGGAGGGTTTGGCCTGGGGGGCTTTACTTGGCTCATTGCGCTCTAACGACTCCTTGTGGCGGGCCGGGCGCCTGCAGGCTGACTTCGGTCATCAGTTGAACGGTGTTTCCTCCGACACATTGGTGCAGCTGGCTTCCGGGTTAAGCGGGCGGGTGTTAAGAAGCGCGGTTTTGCGGGTCATGTTTCGGAGGACGCATGACTCGACCTTCGCCTCCTGAGCCCATTGGGGAGTTACTTATTTACATAAGTATTCAGACCCTTTGCTATGAGACTCGAAATTGAGCTCAGGTGCATCCTGTTTCCATTGATCATCCTTGGGATGTTTCTAAAACTTGATTGGAGTCCACCTGTGGTAAATTCAATTGATTTGACATGATTTGGAAAGGCACACACCTGTCTTTATAAGGTTCCACAGTTGACAGTGCATTTCAGAGCAAAAACCAAGCCATGAGGTCGAAGGAATTGTCCGTAGAGCTCAGAGACAGGATTGTGTCGAGGCTCAGATCTGGGGAAGGGTACCATTTAAAAAAAAACTTCTCAGTAAAAGGTACATGGCAGCGCGCTTGGAGTTTGCCAAAAGCCAGCAAAAGGGCTCTCAGACCATGAGAAACAATATTCTCTGGTCTGATGAAACCAAGATTGAACTCTTTGGCCTGAATGCCAAGCGTCACATCTGGAGGAAATCTGGCACCATCCCTACAGTGAAGCATGGTGGTGGCAGCATCATGCTGTGGGAATGTTTTTCAGTGGCAGGGACTGGGAGACTAGTAAGGATCGAGAGAAAGATGAACGGAGTAAAGTACAGAGAGATCCTTGATGAAAACTTGCTCCAGAGCGCTCAGGACCTCAGACTGGGGCGAAGGTTCACCTTCCAACAGGACAACGACCCTAAGCACACAGCCAAGACAATGCAGGAGTGGCTTCGGGACAAGTCTCTGAATGTCCTTGAGTG